CTATGAAGCACCATCCTCAGATAGAGGCATGCCTATGCATTTCTCCCACCAGCATATATTCGATATTGAATGAACACCTGGCCGTAAAAAAGGTTTGTTCTCGTTGGATTTGACAATCGCTCAAAAAAATGCTCGTTTGGATTGGTGTAAAGAAATGCTGAAAAAATACGATCGCGGTGCTTCAAAAGACGTTTATAAGATGGTCACAGGTGACGAATCATGGATCTATGCCAAGACGAGCCAAATCCAACGAAAGTTGTTCGTTGAAGAAGCACTTCGAAKCAAATGGTCGCCTGTTTCTTCGGTAAAACTGGTCATGTGGCGACTGTTCCGCTTGAGCAACGTAGGACGGTCAATTCTGAGTGGTACACTATCATTTGTTTGCCTGAAGTCTTCGGAGAAATTCGAAAAACGAACAAGAGAAGACGAATCATTGTGCACCATGACAATGCGAGCTCTCACACATCGGCYCAAACCAGCTCCTTTTTGACCGGCCAAAACATCGAATTGATGGGTCATCCGCCGTACGGCTCTGACTTGGCACCCAATGACGTCTTTTTATTCCCAYACATCAAGAAAATAATGCGTGGTCAACGAATTTCGTCGCCAGAAGATGCTCTTGAAGCATTCAAAAGCCATGTTTAGGAGGTGTCTCAATCGGAGTGGAAAATGTGCTTCGAAAATTGGTTTGAGCGTATGCAAAAKTGTATAAATCTTGATGGAGACTATTTTGAAAAACAATAAAACCATTTTCGTTGATAAATATTCCTATTTTCATTATTAGGCCAGAAATATATATAGCAGCCCTCGTATATACCCGTACTTCTTTTTTTATTGTTAAGCTCGCAACTTTTAGTATAAGGTTGAAGAAAGATATATGCTTTACAAACGAAGTTCCAGACCTCAAAATATCTACTACTACTGAAAATATTAGGAAATGATACCTCAATAATTGATTGGTGCCATAACAATCACGTCAAGCTCTGTCGAAAATAAATGTTGCGTTAACTTTTTCCACGTAAGCGGTCGGTTTTCCACAAGAAGATTGCACAAGTACGATAATTMACGGTTACTCTACAGGCTGGTAATGGATGATGTTTTTAAATATATTTATTTTAATTAAATTTTNTATATTCGGACCACAACAATTAAGCTAAAAAGCATACTGAACACGATTTACCTCTTTAGATCTATCTATGTTATCACGATAATTACCTAACAGTATTTGAGTGATTTTAAGGCTTGATACGTTGAGTACCCAAACATTATACTATCTATGAACTACTTTAATTTTTCTCTTAAATGTCAACTACTATGACAATTCTATTATCAGTGTCAATAACCTGCTCTTATCTGGCGACAACTGCTTCTTTATTCATTAAGCACCATATTTAGTCGCGTGCCATGGCGTATGAGCAACATTTGTTATTTTCTCCACAAGCATTTCCATACAAAAATATTTGCTTCAGAGCGCAATCGCGCGTATACTTACATTTGGGCACACCTCCAGTTTCTCCATTCGACACCATTTTAGGTAAACTGCGATTAGCTTATTTACAAATAACACGCTGAACAATTGCAGGAAGTTAAACAAAATTAGCACTACTGAACGGCGCTGAGGCTGTTAAGCTACTGAATTGAAATTTTATGAGAAGTGATAATAATTTCGCAGATTTTTCCCCTTAAAAATACTCATTATCCAGCTAATTAGTCGAGCTGTTATCGTGGGTGAATAAAAAATCGCATAAAAAGATTATTTAATCAGMTAAATTCAGTCTCTTAACTATAGAGGAAACAAGGTATATAAGTAAATAAAATTGTATGTGTATTATTTGTGTCTGYGAGGCGTSTGTCGGGTTTTACCGAAAATATATRTATTTCCGTAATGTATTTTCGCTTCTGTGCAGTTTTATTGGCTCCGCTGTGTAAGTCTTTAACAAATACTGACTGATATGTCAACTCTGTTTTGACGCAATCCGTGTGTGGAAAGTTTTTTCTTTGTTGGGGCCATAAAAATGCTAGAGCAGTAGACTAAATACGCTCATTTTTATTTTTAAACATACATTTTATTCTAGCAATAGCAATCCAATTCATAATTGTGAAATCTAAAATASGTAAAATACGTCAAAGAAAAAGTGATTTTCTCAGTTTGAATTTGAAACCTTGAATTTGCAAATAAAATAGTGTTACCAGATTGTTAGGCTCTGCCATGTATTCACTAGATGTTCCAAACTTGTTTTAATTCAATYGCAAGTGACTTTACTTTACTTTATTGCAATCCACTATAATTTTTTTACTCTTAATGAACAATTTATTTTATTTCAAATAAATTTGATGCGAATCTTCAGTAAAGTATGGCTAATTTTGATTTTTTTTGAACGAATCCTAAATGTATGCTGTACTTTTAGTCTATACATACATACGTTGTGAAATTTTTGAATAAATCGTTGCCTACATTTGTGCGCGAGAATTAACTAAAATTTGGTTAAAAAGGTAAATCACACAGTTTCGGAATTCCAAACATGAAAATTGCTGGAACTATTATTTTATTTATTAGAAAATTTTAGCAGTTAGTTTTCTGATGTAGATTGTGACAAAAAAGCACCCGGAAATTGTAATTTAAAGTATGTATGTCTAACCATTATAAATACCAATTTTATAAAATATTTGCATATTTTTACATGTTGATTTACAAATTTTTTGTTTAATAAATACTGCAAGAATATTTATATCTCTGAGCATATTAATAATAGTTTCATTAACTCATACTATATACCGTTATAGTATCATTGCCCGCTTTTGAGGCAGCGCTAACTTATTTTCTACATATTCGCTAAATGCAGCTTTCAAATCTATATACATTGTACATATATATATAGTACACAGTAAGAAAGTAGATTTACATGCAAAACACCTATCACCATATATATTCTGTAAACTAAAGTGTAGATCTTTGAGAATCCCAGAAACCTAGCAATTAAGAAGTTTAATCACACGAAAAGGTGTGACTTAATAATTTTGTACACAAGTTAATGCTAAATTCCACTAATTTAACAAAAAAAAAAAAAAAAAAAAAGGAATGACTAAAACTTAAAGCGACATTTGCGACTCTGCTTTAGTTATTGGAAAACCAGATGTTTTCTCTGTTAGCGGCTCCATTTTGCATTGACTTTATTATCTCTGGAAGTGTCGAGACAGTAATATGTTTCATATAGAATAACAACATTTGATGTGAAAACCAGAGATTTATCGTATCGGYGACGATAAAGCCCATCACAAGAGGTGCCATGATACTGCAAACATTCGCCGCACAGTTGGTCAGACTAATGAGCGTGTCGGCAACTCGCGTTTTCACTACCGAATGGGACTCGCACGTTAAACAACACTTCCTAACGGCGCTACTCTCGTTAAGCTTCTCTCCTGCTCCCTCTGGCGCTTAGCGTTACTCTTTGAATTGAAATTCTAACATCTAGTAGTAAAAGCCAAATCAGTTATGCGAATAATATTCTCATGGCCAGATTATATACACACACCTCCRAATTCCGAGGGCAAAACTGGCGTGTTAATCGCATTAACTCCGTWGATAGATTAGGGCGGAATACAAGTGTATATACAAATACTCGTATACGATAAAGAAACCCCAACATTATTTAATTACCGAATCTACAATAGCGCACCAGTCATTGTTTGATGCCAACTGGAAATTCCAAGTGTAGCCAGGTTCTTCTTCATCTGGTCTTTCCAACAGAGTGGAGGTCTTCCTGCTTTCTGCT